TTTTAATCTTTTTTTAATCTTTTATTCCTTTTATGTTTTACCCAATTTTATTTATTTGATTGTAAATGTTATATTTACCCAGGTTTTAGCTCTTCTGTTTTTATCTGTACTGTTTAATTTATTTATTTTTCTGTACAGCGCTTTGGTCATCTGTGGTTGTATTAATGTGCTTAACAATATAATTGGATTGGACTTTAATAGATGTGCTGAAACAGCACAGTGTGGTTTTTTCATGTGTGTCTGCCCTGTCTTATGCTCACAGTCTGAGGGGAGCACCCACAAGGTTTTACTTGAGATTTCTTACAGTGTATTGGAGTTTTGTTATCTTTATCAGACAATTATCTTCCATGTCTCTACATTATTGTGTAGAGGTATGTTGCAAAGTCAGTGACTAAATACAATTGACAGGTTTTCCCTATAAAATGTTTTACTGATTTGAATGACAAACTTAACTTGGAGACATTATTTGGTAAATAGGACTAAAGTGTAAATATTGAATTGTAACTAATTTAAATCTTTGTGTTTGATTGGATTTAATGAACAATATGTATCCGTACATTGCTTGGGGTTTACCTAATTATTAGACTATATAATTCCAAAAGTAACTAGTGAGTGATTGCAATAAGATTGTAATTATAACAACCCATTTTTTCCCTTTTAGATGAGACAAAATCTAATTTAATATGGCTTAGGCAGACACATCTTCAAATAAAACAAGGCTTCAAAAAATATTGATGTTTGGTTCATCAAGAGTGCTGCTGTCTTGAACTTTTGCTGTTGGTGTCATCATAAAGAAAAAGACGTTGATATTAGAATGCTTCATCTTTATTTAGCAGTTAAGAGCATAGATCCCAACAACCTGGAACAGTTCATCTGTATCTCCATCCAATTATACTTCTTGGCATTGCTTCAAATGGGGCGGTAGTCAAAAGTACCATCACTTCTGAATTTTATCCATCAGCGTACCTGGACTTTTTTTCAGTGTGGGGCAAGTACCGAGACTGGTATCCGAATTCCCGGCCCATCCCACTTCTTTTATTACAGGTTGACTAACTGAACCACTTTTTCTTTTTAGAAAAAAATAATCTAGAAAATATATAAACCCTCAAATCCAACCCCAGTTCCCAAAAAATGTTTTGATGAGAAAAACCTCCACCAATAGAAACCCATATGTGGTTTAACGTTAACAGAATAAAATATAACACCACTTCAATCAAGCACCTAAAACTTTACGCTTAGATTCTGTGTGAGGAGAAGATCAGAGCAGGTCAGGGATATCGCTGGCAAGGTGAAGTTTCTGGAGGTTGATTCCTTCATTTATGTGAGAGAAAAACAAAAACAATATGAGCTGCTGAAAATGTTACAAGAAAATATAAGCTTATTAGTTTTACTCACAGCATCCGTAAAGTTTGTTGATGCGGGCAATGTCAGTGGCGCTCATTGATGCTGCCCTTCCAAAACTGAGGCTAGGATTATCTTTAGAAATTATTGTTGGTTGGCCATTTCTAGAAAAGGCAGTGCTGAAAGAAGAACGCAGCAATGAACAAAATGTTCAGGCTGTACTCAAGAGTCAGACTAAAAACTAAAAGCTCCACGCAACTGATTCGTAAACACTTTGGGATACAAAACTGCCAACAGAAGCAGATAACTTGTATGAACTGACAGAGAAATACTTACTTAGAGTAATGCATAACCGAGTTGAAGTCATAGCCAGTCCCTTGGTTGTTAGTATTCACTTTCCTAAAGTTGTGTTCTTTTCCTGTTTGAAGCACAGAAGTA